GGGGTGCCGAGTCGGTGTGGTCCGAGTTCGGGGGACTGGTCAAAGGCTGGTAATGTTGTAGCATCATTTGGTGGACCTCTATTGTCCGTGTGAGCTGTGCGAATCGGTCCTGGATGAAGCGGAGAAAACAGGGGGCAATTAGCAGTATAATTATTATGATGATGGTTGGGCCGAGGAGGGGGAGGAGTAAGGAGTACATGGAGGAATTCCACCAGGAGGAGGCGTCTACTGAGAACTTTTGTTTTTTTAGTTCTGAACTTAGCTGGTGGAGGGTTTCAATGCGGGTTTCTACCAAACCTGATTTGTGGATATAATAGCAACATTCTTCCCCAAGAAAGAGACAGGTTCCTCCGTGTTCCGCTGTGAGGAGGTCCAGGGCCCTTCGATTCTGCATCGACAGCTGGGCCAGGGAGGTGATCTACCTCTGGAGAGAAGCTAGGGACTCAGCCGAGCTGTCGATAGTAATCTGAAATTGAGATTCTAAGCGTTCTGAGGTGACTAAGGAGTGTGCCAGGGCACCCCCTCCCAGTCCAGCAGCAACAGCCGAGGCTGAGAGGGAGAGTCCCACTAAAAGGGGTAAAAAGATTGCCCGCTTTTGTTTCGGGTTGTAATATATGTATTTTTGTTGGAATTCGGCAGGTGTGTAGACCATGAGTTGGGGGGTTAGGGTGACAGGCAGGCAGAGAAGAGTGGGATCCAAGGGGGTCGAGAGAGTTTTCGATAAGGTATGATTACACCAGAAGAAATAGCCTTTAGGGGCAGTTAAGTTGAAAGTGGGAGATTGTGTGACATTGCAAAGGTTGGATGGACTGTTACTGTAACAAAAGGGAATTTGAGAGAGATCAGGAGGCATATATAGGGCTACATCGGCAAGAGGAGTCATAAGTTTTGGTGCGGTGGACGTCCCGGAGCAGTTGAGAGCGGCGGGATAAGGGACCGCAGTCAGAGGAGGTTTTCCTAAGGCTGCACACATTAAACAAGATGAGAGGTTGCCTGCCCCAGTGAGATTGGCTAGTATTAGACCTTCCTGGAGGAGAGAGAGCCATGAAAAGGGGGAGGTTTGGGCAGCTAATTGTCTGGTGAGTAGGGATTCCTGGGTCTGGATGTCATCGTGGACTCCGCCAGTAAGTTGGACTAGGGCTCGCCAGACATAAATGTGGGAAGATGGCATATGGGAGTACCTAGAGGTGTATACGGCCCCCCTCTGAAGGGTCACCCATTTGGAGTCAGTCGGATCAGAAATAATGAGGGAGAAGGACTGTGTGCGGTTCATGGTGCGGCGATAGAGGGAGATTCCTGATGGGGATCGGGGGGGCCTTGTGTCTTAAGCCTGGTGATGATGGGCAGGAGTCCCATCCTATGAGCGTGTGAGATGGGGAATTGCGGGCGGTTAGGAAAAGAAGATGGGTCTTTGAGTTTAATTAAAACAGGAGTGTGGTGGGAAGCAATGGTGGGGGTATCCGTGTCCCAGACCTCGGGGCGGACTCCAGGTAGGAGCTGGACTTTGGGGTCTGGGTTAGGTTTAAGGTTGGGGCCTGGCACCAGTGCCAGCAAGAAGGTCTGTTTCGGGGAGAATGAGATGCTTGCCTGGAGTTTGGACAGAATGTCTCTCCCCAGGAGGGGGACTGGACATGAGGGCATGACTAGGAAGGAGTGGGAGAACGGGTGACCCTCAAATAGGCAGTTAAGGAGGGTCGTTCGTTGTGGGGTTGAGGGTGATCCGTCAATTCCCATGACCGAGACCTGGGAAGGAACTGTAAGACCCGAATGAGAGGGAAGGACAGAGTAGGTAGCCCCGTGTCTACCAAAAAGGAGACAGACTTACCCGCTACCTGGAGCGTGACCCTGGGCTTGGCGAGGGTAACTGGAGTCGAAGAGCCAGGGCCCCCTCAGTCGTCCATTAGCCCCAGCAGTTCTAGGGCCGGGAACGTCTGGTTCTCAGTCCCCCCGCATTGAGGTGCCGAGGGCTGAGCCAGGGTCGGGCAGTCCGACTTCCAGTGGCCCATTTGTTTGCATTGAGGGCAAGGTTTGGTGGGGAGCCTAGGCTGCGGACAGGCCTTCGCCCAGTGGCCTTCCTTCCCGCATTTGAAACAGGCGCCCGGGGGCGTGCGCTGTCCTCCTTTGGAGGTCAGCCTTTTTGCCGGTGCCCCTGCCGGCCGGAGGGCCGCCACCAAGGCTTGGGTCTGGAGGCTGACCTTCTGCTGCAGCCGCGCCTGCCGGGCCGCTTCAGCCGTCTCCTCCCGGGCGTTAAAAACTTTAAAAGCCATTTTTACCAGGTCTCGGATGGGAGTCTCAGGGCCCTCTTCAGCCTTTTTTAGTTTTTTTCCTGATATCTGGGGCGGACTGAGAGATAAAGTGAGATGCTAGGATTGTGGCCCCGTTGTGGGACCCCGGGTCTAGGCGGGTGTAGCGAACCAGGGCCTCCTGCAGGCGGTTGAGAAAAAGGGCCGGGTTCTCTTCGGGGAGCTGGGTAATTTCTCTCAGTTTGTCATAGTTAACTACCTTATTGGAGACTGCGTCCATACCCCGAAGGAGGTACCGGAGCATGAGGTTCCGGCGCGGAATCTTAGATCCAGGGCCGGCCTGATAGTTCCATGCAGGATCGTCCTGGGGAACTGCTTCATTGCCGAGGGGGACTGTATTGTCTACTAGGTGGTCTCTATCTGCCTGCTGCCTGGCGGCAGCGAGGATACGCTCATGTTCCTCAGGGGTGAGAGTGGAGGTGCAGATTACTGTGATGTCATGCCAGGTCAGGTCATAAGTCTGGGACAGGTATCGGAACTCTCTGATGTAGGTTGAGGGGTCAGCTGAGAAGGATCTTAACCTCTTTTCGATCTGAGAGAGGTCCTGGAGGGAGAAGGGGACATGCACCCGCACCAGTCCTTCTGCCCCAGCCACCTCGTGGAGAGGGGCCAGGACAGCAGGCGGGGGTTGGGGAGTGTGAGATCGGGTATGTGCTGCTATGGGAGAGTCGAGGGGGTCAGCGGGAGGTGGGGCAGCCAGAGCCGGGTCAGGACCAGGGGGGACTTTTCTGAGGAGGGTTGGGGGAGGTGATAGGTGATCAGGGAGGTCATCAGGCAGAGAGTAAGGAGGGGGGTCTATAGGAGGTGCCTTTGGAGGAGGGGAAGTCTGGGCTAGGAGAATCTGGAGAGTAGAGCAGTGTGAGCAAAGGTCAGGGCGGGAGCGGAGGTCCCCAAAAGCCTGAATGTATGGGATCTCAGGGTCCTTTCTGGTCCGCCGGCAAAAATTGGCCAGGTCCCGGAGGACATTAAAGTCAAAAGTACCCGTAGGTGGCCAGTGAGACTGGTTGTCTACGGTGTATTGAGGCCAAGCGACCTGAGACAAGAAGATGAGTTTCTTCTTGTGGAGGGTCTGAAAGTATCCCAATTTGGAGAAATTTATAAGAAGACATCCCAAAGGAGTCTTAGGGTCTATTTTGGATTCGGAGTTTCCCATAATTTAGTGGCCTTCCGGACCCCTAAGTGTCGGAGGAGAAAGGGTATGAGGGAGGCGTCCCTTCCAGATACCCGTCTCCGGATAGAGATAGAGGGGTGACTGAAAGGTGTCCCTTTCAATCAGTCCCCCTATATAGACTCCAGGAGTCGTGAGGGGAGGGCTCTCGGCTTGGCCAAGTCTAGGACGAGAGACCCCGGCGGGGACACAGGGGTCGGCAGGAAGGGAAAGGGATCGAATTACTTACGGTTGCAAGCCGTATCTGCAGGGAGCTCCGAATTCAAAGCTGTGGAGGGCGGCACGAGGCAGGGAGAGAGAGAGGGGGGACTCTCGCCTCAGCCTGCAGGGACTGAGGCGGGTCGCAAAACCCCTCTCCCAGGTTTCGGCACCAGATGTAAGGTAGCCAGGCGCCGCCGGTGGGAGGTGGGAAGAAACCAGAGCCAAACAGCCGAATAAGCAGAAATCAGGCTTTATTGGGTACACTTCGGGCGGGTTCACAGACTCGGGGGGTTGAGTCCGAGAAGCCGCGCCCGATGCTGGGGTTTGTGATTTTTATATCTGCGCCTGTGGCAGAGGGAACTTGTTGTCAGGGTTAGGTCCTGAGGGGCTACGCATGGGGGCCCCTGGAATGTGAGTCTATTGTCCCGGAGCAAACAGTTCCTGGACTAGGACAGGAGAATGGGACAGGAGTTGATCTATGAGTTTGGGGCAAACAGTTCCTGAAACAGGGTGGGAGTCTAGGTTGGGTAAGCGAGGTAACGGCTGAGCAGTTTGCCTGGTGCCAGTTCCCAGGCTCTCGGACATTTACCATTTCTGGTACTCTTTATTACATATTTTTATCCAGTAGAATTTCCTTTTCACATGAAGGACTTAAACATTTCTTTATTTCTAATGCCAGTCTTCCCGTTATTCATTCTTTCATCCTTTGAGTGTTAGAAATGTCTTAATTTTAGAAAAATATTTTTGGGAAATAGAATTCTAGTTTGACTGCATTTTGCTGTCAGTGCATTAAAGACATTGCTCATCAGTCATTTCATTTGCATTGTTTCCAATGTAAAAACTGCTCTCATCCTTACTATATATTCCTAGAAGGTGTCCTCTTTTTCTCTTACTGCTTTTCATATTTTTATCTTCTTCTCTGGTTTTGAGCAAAAACAGATCATTTTTGCCCACACAGTAAGTGAATTTGTCCTTCTCTGTTTGGCTTGTTTCACTCAGGATGATACTTTCCAGGTCCCTCCATGTAGTCTCAAAGGACAAGAGATCTTTCTTTCTTACCGCTGCGTAGTACTCCATTGTGTATATGTACCACAGCTTTTTGATCCATTTGTCTACTGATGGGCACTTGGGCTGTTTCCAGATCTTAGCGAGCAAATTCATTTTTTTTTTTTTTTTTTTTTTTTAATCCTCACCCGAGGATATTTTTCCATTTCTTGTACAGATAGAGTGGGAAGGAGAGAGAGGAAGGGAGAGAGAGAGAGAAACATCGATGTGAAGGGACACATCGAGCGGCTGCCACCCGCACGACCAACCAGGGCTGGGGACAAACTGCAACCGAAGTACGTGCCCTTAGCGGGAACCGAACCCGGGTCTCTCCGGACCGCAGGCCGACGCTCTAACCGCTGAGCCAAACCGGCCAGGGCGCAAATTCATTTTTGATACCACAGTCTGTGCAGGGATTCCTGGGCCTGTGGGGACAACGACAGGCAAATCACTCCCTGCAGCTGACAGATGGGGGCACCCAGAGACTAGGACTTATAACAAGAACAAAAATGGTCATGCTGTTTTATAGAAACAAAAGTCCTCTGCTCAAAATGTCCTAGAGAATCCCTATTACTCAGTCCCGTCCCCTTTGCCCCAACCCCTCCCCACGTCAGGGTCTCACCTTTAGAAGCCTATAGCAGACACATCAGAGCCCTGGGAGCTGTCACGGCAGGAGCAGAACAAGACATGGTCAGAGCCCCCAGGACAGGAGACCGAAGGAGGAACTATGGGGGGTGAGGTCCCCCATGGGCTCCTATATCCACTCACAGGGTCTCAGGGGTCACCCCTCCATACTCACTGGCAGCCTGAGTGTAGCTCCCTCCTTTTCCACCTGCGGGAAGAAAACATCCTGTGAGAGACCAGGGAAAAGGCAGGGCCACGAGGTCCTACAGGAAGCCCTAGTCTTGGACCCCAGAGAAGTTTCCAGAACTGTGACTTCAGACCCAGGGCAGGATCAGGACATCTGAGGAAAGTACATGTGTGGGGACTAGACCAACAGCCTTCCTGGAGGTCTGTCCTCAGCAAGACCCTCCACTCTGACATGTGACTGTGCGAATTAGGTCTCCATCACCAGAATGACCAAGGTGATAAATCTGTCCCTTATTTTCACATGTATTTACTAAAGATAAGTGTTAGCAAATAGGGCCCCACACTGGGCAAGCACACGCATGGGGATGGTACTTTTCCGTAATGAAGTGGGACATACTTCTTCCTGGGCTTGGAGCCCCCCAGTGGGACAAGAAACTCAAACCCACCCCTTCCCTACCTGAGTGAATCCTCCTCCACCTCACAGTTCCAATGACCACAAGGAGGACCAGGACAGCAAAGATGGCCACAATGAGGATGGCAGCTTGAGGAGGTGGCTCTGGGAAGGGAGGGAAGGAAGGTGAGCGCCCTGACCCCCAGGCCTCAGCCTCAACCTGCTGAAGTCTTCCAGAGGCCCCTGCTTCCCCTAGAAGAGGCTCTGTGCCCACGTCCTCTCCTCACCCCATCTCAGGGTCAGGGGCTCGGGCAGCCCCTCGTGCTGCACATGGCAGGTGTATCTCTGCTCCTCTCCAGGGGGCACCACCAGGGCCGCCCACTTCTGGAAGGTCCCGTCCCCCGCAGGCCTGGTCTCCACAAGCTCCGTGTCCTGGGTCTGGTCCTCCCCGTCACGATGCCAGGTCAGGGTGATCTCCGCAGGGTAGAAGCCCAGGGCCCAGCACCTCAGGGTGACCTCACGGTCAGAGATGGGGTGGTGGGTAATGTGTGTCTTTGGGGGATCTGAGAAGGGTGAGAAAATTCAGGAACTTTCATCCATCATGGGCCACTCTAGCAGCACCCATGTGACCATCCTGAGAATGGACAGGACACCTGGGGTGGGGGAAGGAAGCACAAAACCCAGACGTCAGCCTGGACAGAGGCACCTGGGGATAATCTTGTAGTCTTTAGACAGTTCTAGAGTCAGAATGACACAGACGAGGGCAGCAAGCAGGTCTCTGAGGGGAGAAAAGGGATTTCTGGTCCTGACCTGGGTGGAGGTCAAATGACTCAGAACAGCTGGGAGTCAGACCTCAAACACACTGGGTGAGGGACAGCAAACAAGGCTTGAGAGAAAGTCCCCATGGGTCCCAGAGCCACTTCCAGGATCAATGGGAACCACTGGTTAGTTATTTCAAGGTTGGTCTGTCCTTCCTCCCCCAAGAGACTGCACCCTAATTGTTCCAGAGAGAAGGGTGGGAGCCACTCTCTGCTACCGGATCTTCAGTCTCCCCGTGGAAGGCGGCCTTCCTCTAGGGCTGACCATTTCCTCCTCTCTGCAGGCCTGCAGCCTGAGGGGAGATGTAAGAGGCCCTCCGCCCCTGGTACCTGTGCGCTGCAAGGTGTCCTTCCCTTTTTCCAGGTATTTGCTCAGCCACTCCATGCACTCCCTCTCCAGGTAGTTCCTCTGGACCTCCGCCTCATCCACAGCCTGATATTTGCGCAGGGAGATCTGAGCAGCCTCTCTGTTGGCCGCCGACCAGGAGCGCAGGTCCTCGTTCAGGACGATGTAATCCGAGCCATCGTAAGCAAACTGGTCATAACCGCGGAGGAAGCGCCCATCTGACCCCATTTGGCAGCCATACATCCACTGGAAGGTGTGAGACCCTGGCCAGCCCCACCGATTTAGCAATTGGGTCTGCACCGCTTACCCAGCCCCACCGAAAGTAAGCCCGACCGCGGGGATTAAAACTACATCGAAAATGAAACCGGGTCAAATTCCCCGCAGGCTCCTCCCAGGCGCCTCGGGGCGAAGCTCGGACTGGGACACTCGAGGCGACCCCGGGAGATCCGTGGGAACGGGGTCGTGACCGGGGCCAGGCCCGTGGCTCACCTGCCTCGCTCTGGTTGTAGTAGCTGAGCAGCTTTTTCAGGTTCATTCGGAAACTCCGTGCGGTTTCCTTAACGTTCCCGGTCTCTACCTCCCAATACTGTGGATCTTCCTGCTCCACCCACGGCTGCTGCATCCACCACGCCCGTGGGACCATCCTTGGATGTGTGGCGCCGCTGTCGAACCGCACGAACTGCGTGTCGTCCACGTAGCCCACCGCGACGAAGCGGGGCTCCAGGCCGCCGGGCCGGGACACGGCGGTGTAGAAGTATCTCAGGGAGTGGTGGCCTGGGGGAGGGGACGGGAGGAGCTGAGACCTGGCGACCCTCCCCCCGGCGCGGGTCCCGGCAACACGGTCCAAGGGGCAGGAGAGGGTAGGGGGCAGGGAGACAAAAATGGGGCGAGCGAAGGAAAGGAGTCAAGACAGGGCCTGGCCGGGGCGGGAGTAGAGGGATCCAGCCCCCCGCAGAGGCCGTTCCCTCCCGACCCCGCACTCACCAGCCCAGGTCCGGGTCAAGACCCCCAAGAGCAGCCAAAGAATGGCTGGGGAGCTCATGGGTGCATTCTCCGGGCGTACGGTTGAGGCTGGGTGAGCTCGTCCTGGTAATTCCGCGGACGGAACCGAAACAGAACCCGAAGGGCGGTGACACTGATTGGCTTCTTTAGAAACCGGGCACCCAATGGGAGTGAGAACTGGTGACACGTCAGGAGTATCCAGGAAGGATGACAGAACACAGGTTGCGAGAGGAAATGAAACCCCAGTGCAACGGAAACTTCGTCAACACTGACTTCTTCCTCCTCCCCGCGCCCCAAACTGTTCCTGGGGTTGAGACCCTGAGAGCCAGGCCTGGGGACCTGGGAGTTTGCCCTGACCCCTCTTCCTGCTCTGAGAGCCGTTTGTCACTCTGTCTCCCGGAGTCACGCCCCATTGTCAGTCCGAGGAAACCCTAGGCTGGGCTGAAGCCCTTTTCATTCTCTTCCCCTGGTTGTTGGCGTCAGTTCAACACCAATAGGAACCCCCAATTTGGGGTACAGTGAAGAAGGACACTTTCAGACCAGCAAATTGTGATCATTCTGCTCTGGCCTGCCTGGTGGCCATCAGCTTGGTTTGGCTGTGCTCTGGTGAAACTCAGCCCTCAGCCTTCAGGGGACGGAGAAAATGAGCTCTGACAGCTGGAGCAGAGCAGAGCAGTCCCTACCCCGGCCCCTGATTGGTCTGTCCTCATGCAAATAAGGACTCCAAATCCTCCCACGTTGATTGGTCAGAATAGAGCCACTCTAGTTGGTCAGAGTTGTATAGCCCCCACCGAATGAGAAAAGTGTTAATCCCTTGGTTGAAATAAGATTCCAGGAATTCCTCCATAAACGCTGGCTCAGGTGACAGAAACACAGTGTAAAATGAACTAACAAGTAAAATAGAGACAGACTCACAACAGACAGAGCATGCTGACCGCTCTGGGGAGGGGGTTTGGAGGGTGGGGATAGGGACTGAGCAAAAAAGTAAAAAAGGGGGGGAAGAACTCATGGACACACAAGTGTGGTGGTTGCTGGTGGAGGGGCCTAGGAGGAGGAGGAGGGAATGGGGGGATAAATGGTGACTGATAGAGACTTGACGGGGTGGTGAACATAAAATACAGTATATGCAGATGATGTGTGATAGAATTGTGCACCTGAATCTTCTATAATTTTGTGAACCAGTGTAACCCCAATAAATTCAATTAAAAAATAAATCAGGAGCCTATTTAAAAAAGAAAGAAAGCGACAGCGCAGGCGGGCAGCGGGCAGTGACAGCGCAGGCGGGCAGCGCAGTGCAGGCCTCTCCCTGAAGTGCAGTTTCTACACCCTGTGTTGAAATGACCACTAGGCTCAGATTTTATTGTTGTTGTTTTTAATCCTCACCAGAGGGTATTTTTCTGGAAAGAAACATGATGTGAGAGGACACATGGACTCGTTGCCTCCCACAAGACCCTGACCAAGGCCAGGGAAGAACCAAGGTACCTGCTCTTGACCGGAATCGAACCCACAACTCATTGGTCCTCGGGACAACACTCTAACCACTGAGCCAAACCATCCAGGGCATTGTTGTTGTTTTTCATTTGAGCCCAGTTAGTCTCCAGGAGCCCTTCTTAGTAGGTGTCTTCTTTCTCAGGGTTCACAGTACCAAAGAATGCAAAGAACACCCTGCTAGATTCTGTAGATATATTTACTATAGATCGATAAAACAATGTATTTAAATCTGAGAGTTCCACTTTTAGAATCTCTCTCTCTCTCTCTCTGCTGTTTTTCCTCACTTCCTGCTTCTCCAGCCCTCTTCCATCTCCCTCAGCCCTCAGGCCTCTTCTCCCCTTTGCTCCATCAGCCTCTCACCCCTGAAGTGGCACTAGCACCACCACCTCCCTGCCACCCAGGGACTATTCTCCCCACAGGGGCCAGTGATCTTGCTAACGTGACTCAGGTTGTGTCATTTCTTCATGTATAAAACTCTAATGTCTCCCATGTCACTTATATAAAGCCTATAGAATGTAAGACACATGACTATAGGGGCTTTGGTCTGTGTAGGTCAAAATTGTATCTCCAGCATATAAAGTTGTTTCCTGGTACGTTCTATGGATTAAATTAATTAGTGTTGAATGAATGAAAGATGACTGCATTAAAATTTAATTACATTACATAAAAGGCATTAAATAAAAACAAAAAAGTTAAGAAATATTTTTTTTACATGTAACTACTGTACATGTCAGTTTATAAATTTATTCCAGTGGGAAAATGTTGTGTGTTTGTTTGTTGCACAGTTGAGCCTGTGCATTAGTTTTCTATTACTATATAAAAATGATCACATCTCAGTGGCTGAAAACAGCTCTGTTTATCTGCTCATAGTTCCTTAGTAAGAAATCCAGGCATGGTGCGGGTGGATTCTCTGATCAGGGCATCACAAAGCTGTGTCCTCATCCTGAGTTCAGGGTCCTTCTCTAAGCTTATGCAGAAATTGTTAGTAGAATCCAGTTTTTTTCCAGTAGTAGGTATGAGTTCCCTGTTTCCTTGACAAGAGTCAGCAAGGAAGAGCTAGGGGAGGGTTGCTCCCAATCCCTAGTGCCCACCAGCAGTCTTTACCATGTGGTGCTCTGTTTTCAAAGCCCCCAGTGGAGAAAATCCCTCACACTGAATTCTTCTGTCACTTGGAGAAACCCCAATCGGTACTCACCTGATTAGAACAGTCCCACCCAAGGTAGTCTTAAGGTCAACTGATTTGAGGCCTTAGTTATATCTGCAAAATCTCTTCCCAGCAGCCCCTACATTAGTGTTTGATTGAATAACCAGGGAAAGTGAATAACCAGGGTGGTTATTGAGAGCCATAATAGAATCAGCCTAGCACCACCTGTTCTTCCTTCAGTGTTTCTTTGGGGTCATGGTTAAAAATTAAAGTTCAAAGAAATAGATTGTTGTGAATGATAATAAAATGCATCCTGCCTATTAACCCTGGAGATTCTTAAATCTTAAAATCAAATGACATGTTTAATATCTTATAATTAATTTAAAGCAGTGAAAGTTAAAGTGCAATCATTCATTCTCTGGATACTGTATTAGTAATGTACTGCAGCATAACAAATTACCCAAAACTTAGCAGCTCACAACAACAAACGTTTGTTATCTCCAGGAGAGGTTTACCTGAATGCTTCTGGCTCAGGGCATCTCTCAAGTCTGCAGTCAAGTTGTCAGCCAGGGCTGCATGGTCTGAAGGCTGACTGGGCTGGAGGACTCTCAGGAAAAGTGGCTTGCCCATATGGCTGTTGGAAGAGGCCTGATTTCCTTCCTGGATGGTCCCAGGAGCCCTCAGTTCATAGCCATGTGGACTTTGACATAAAGCAGTGAATGACTAGGTAGCTTCTTCCCCTAGACCAAGTGATCAGAAAGAGTAACAAAGATAGAAGCTGCAATGAATCTTAGGTCCTGGACTGAAAGTCACACCATTACATCAGCCTTACTCTATCAGCAGTGAGTCATCAAATCCAGCCCACACTCAAGGGGAGAAAATGACTCAAACTCTTAAAGGGAGGAGTATAACAAATTTACATAAATAGCCTGGCCTGTGTGGCTCAGTGGACTGAGCATTGTCCCATGAACTGAGAGGTCCCAATTTGATTCCTGCCCAGTCTGGGTTGAGGGCTTGATCCCCAGTAGGGGGCATGCAGGAAGCAACCCATCAATGTTTCTCTCTCACATCAATGTTTCTCTCTCTCAAAAATAAAATCAATAAAAAATATTTAAAATTTTTTAATTTACATAAATATGAACACAAAAATTGAATATTGTTACAGAATTTTGTAAATTAAATACTTCTTTTATCTGATTTTTTTTTAATGCTTCAAATTTCACTTTTGGGGAGAAATCTTGCTGGCCCCACTTGCATTTCAGACCCTGCTGAGGAGGCGGCAGCAGAGGCCACGCCTACAGGATCGGGCGGTCTCAGGGGACAGTAGTGACTGGCTTTATGGTGGGGTCATTCCCCACAATGTCCCAGAAACCTGACTGGCACTTCCCCCTCACAGGAGAGCTGATAGAAACCCCCAGCTTACCGCAGACCCCACAGAGACTGTATACTAGAGGCTCTGCCCTGCCAAGTCAGGAAAAGAGCTCCGGACAGATTTAGACCTGGGGCTCTGGGATGGGGGCCACACCCATCTTCCCTGGAGTCTGAAAGGCACCTCCCCCTCACAGGAAACCCAGACGTCTCATCCTCCCGATTCCACCAAAGCCCTTTCAGAAGCAGCCTTTCCAGTGACTAAGTCTGGCCGCTGGCCAGCAGGCGGCTGTGGGCGGAGGCGTGGCGAGGTGTCCTGGGACGTTTGCAGACAAGCTGGCCCTGGAGTGCACCTTGCCCCTCCCAGGTGCCGTCAAGCCAGCGGAAGCAGCCACAAACTGCAAATGGCTTGAAGCGTGAACAGGCTGCCAAGAGCCCAATGCAGACAGCTTCCGACAGTGGCTAGCACCAAAGTACCTGCAGCGGCCAGAAACAGCACACAGGACAGTCGGCCTCAGTCAACAGGAGAGCAGGGGCCAAAGGGAGCTCCCAGAGGGCACTAACCTCTGCCAAGATGAGTTCCACTTTGTTGTATTTGTTTTTGCATTACTTTCTATATTTTTTCTTTTTTTATTGCTTTGTTATTATTTTTCTCATTCCTTTTCTTTCACCTTCTTTCTCTTTTTTCCTTTCTTAATTTTTTCTTTCTTCTTTCTCTTCTTTTTTCCTTTTTTCTTTTATACCACTTTCCTTTTCCTATCCTTTATTCTTATTTTTTCTCTCCCGTCTTTTCTTTCATATTTTTTTTTCTTATTAAAAAAAAATCCTGCCCTGGCCGGTTTGGCTCAGCGGTTAGAGCGTTGGCCTGCGGTCCTGAGAGACCCGGGTTCGGTTCCCGCAAAGGGCACATACCTCGGTTGCAGTTTGTCCCTGGCCCTGGTAGGTCGTGCGGGTGGCGGCCACTCGATGTGTCCCTTTCACATCGATGTTTCTCTCTCTCTCTCTCTGTTCCTCTCTCTCCCTCCCACTCTACCTGAACAAAAAATGGAAAAATGTCCTCGGGTGAGGATAAAAAAAAATAAAAAAAATAAAAATAAAAATAAAAAAAAATCCTCACTGGAGGATATTTTTCTATTTATCTTCAGATAGAGTGGGAGGGAGGGAGGAAAGGGAGAGAAAGAAACATTGATGTGAGAGGGACACAGTGACTGGTAGCCTCCCGCACAACCTCGACCAGGGCTTGGGACAAACCACAACCAAGGTATGTGCCCTTGATCAGAATTGAACCCACGAGTTATTGGTCCATGGGTCAACGCTCTAACCACTGAGGGCTTTCTTCTAATTTTTAAATTATTATTCCTGTTGCCTGGTTGGTGTGGCTCAGTGGTTGAACATCGACCAATGTACCAAGACGTCGTAGGTTATATTCCCGGTCAGGGCACATGCCCAGGTTGTGGGCCCAATCCCTTTCTTTCTTCCTTCCTCTCTCTCTCTCAAATCAATAAAGAAAACTATTTTTAAAAATCATTATTCCTGTTCTCTTTCTTTTCTTTTAATGTGTGTTTTTTAATTGATTTTTCAGAGAGAGCAGAAGGGAGAGAGAGAGAAACATTGATGTGAGAGAGGAACATTGATTGGCT